TTGAACCGGCATACTCAAAAACCCCTTAGGACAAAGTTTCATGCTTCTTTCCAGAAGTGCACATCTTGACCAAAAAATGTCACATATCCGCCCCACTATTTCACGATACTTACAGAACAATTAAATTTTGAAAATTGGACAATCTGTCACCTGCACTCAGAACGCCGTTTGATTGCTAGGGCTACTGTGAATGGAAGCAGGTAACTTCGTCTCTAAAAACTGTACTGGGGACTAGGCTTATTTGCCTTACTGACTTAGGCCTACTACTACTATGCCTAGCCTAGGTAGGCCTAGCCGAGTTAAAAGGAGGAAGGTCCCATTCGAAAACAATGACAGCTTGAAATTGTCTTTTTAACTTCAAAATAATTATGCTAAAATTAGTTAATTCATTCTTTATTATAATTGTGTTATAAATTGTACAAGTGTTAAGAAGAAGCGTGGGTTTTTGTGTGCCTCGCATGACTCGTACAGTTGGTACACGTCCCGCATGAATTACCGAATCCAAATGCGTTTGCCGCTACTTGACTTTTGCACTGCGCTACTTGACTTTTGCACTTTGCCATTTGACGTTTGCACTGCACTTGACTTTTGCACTGCGCCACTTGTGGTTGTCCTTTTGGCGATATCACGCCAAAAGGACAAACAACAATCACAGTGCAAAACTAAAGTGGCGCAGTGTAAACTCAAATGCGTGCGCCGCCACTTGACTTTTGTACTGTGTCACTTGACTTCTGCAATGCGCCACTTGACATTTGCACTGCACCACTTGACATTTGCACTGCGCCACTTGACTTTTGCACTGCGCTACTTGACTTTTGGTGATATTTTATGGAACGCCAATTTTTGCATCAAAATGAAACTAAACAACAATATAAACTAGAGATACTATGTTCAATAGAACATGAACCCAGTCATTTTTTAAGAGATAACAACTGTGACCTTTAACCACAACCTGTGTACACCCCATAATGAATTTGAACATTAAAGAAAAATTGGAAAAGACTGACATTTGACAAATGAACTTTGACCTGTCCAATAAAACATGAACCCAGCCATTTTTCAGAATTTGACCCTAAAATGACCACTGTGACTTTTGAGCTCAAGCTGTGAACACCCCATGTTTGGTAGGAGTCTGTCTAATGCATTGGTCCAATCGTTAGTCACTAGCAGTATTTTGATAATTTTCACTAAAATGACCTTTGTGAATTTTGACCTGTAGGCGAAGAGTACTATTTTTTTTCATGTTTAGAAGGTGCTAGGGTTCATTACTGGTAAATTCGAGCTCAATTGGGCTATTTTGAAATTTTGACCCCGATGACCCCTATATTACCACTGATGCCAGGCAGGGGTGTAGGAGGTGTCTCTGGTTCTTAATGATCAAATTTGATTAAATTCGGTTCAATTGTTTGCCATTAGTAACATTTTTACCCTTCGAACTATAGACTTTGACATATGGAGTGAAGAGTATTTTTTACGTGTTTACAAGGTCCTAAGGATCATTCTTGGTCAATTTAAGCTCAATTGGGCTATTTTAAAAAATAAATTTGGCAATAGTAGCGTTTTGAAATGTTTCCAGAAAAAAGATAAAAATTACCCCTTAATGACCTTGAGCCCTTATCCCTGAACACCCTATAGACCATGCCTTATGCCAATGTATATGTGCAAAGTAAAAGACTGTGCTATTGTGAGGCAAGTAGTCTTTTATACGATTATTTTTTTTACCCTAATGCCCCTTATGTGACCTTTGACCCAACTTGTAAAAAACACATAAATGGGAGGTGGCACCGGTCCTACTGACCAAGTTTTAATTAAATCGCTCCAGTAGTTTGCCACTAGTAGCCTTTTAAAATGTTGCCAGAAAGAAAGAAAGAAAGACAGAAAGAAGGAAGAAACTGCTAAGAAACAGAACCCAGTGAGCATGCTGCTGACTGGGTAAAGAAAGAAGAAACTGCTCGGAAACAGAACCCAGTCAGCATGCTGCTGACTGGGTAAAGAAGAAACTGCTCGAAAACAGAACCCAGTCAGCATGCTGCTGACTGTTTAATGAATAAAAAAAAATCAAGAACACATAATTCAATTTTTTAAAAATAATTTCACAACACAACAACAGAAACAAAAAAAATTGGGACTAAAACACCAATAGGAACGATATGATTATAGGCATACTTGTCGTAGATGCAGTGGCCTAGGCTTGTCTATTCATCGTAATTATTACCGCTATAAAGGCCTATAGCACAGTTGTCAGCTATGGCCACTAGAGACAAATTAAAAAACTTTGGTAGTAATGGGTTATACGAATAAACCAATTGCTGAAGAAATGGTAAGCGTAAGCACCATAAAAAAAAACCTCCGGCGTAATTTCCGATTGAGAAAGAGTGACCTATTAGCGGTAAGTTTGAGATAATTTCTGTTGCTTTTTGTTTCTACATCATTGCTAGGCTAGTCAGGGTAAACTACTCAGTTAATCTAGGGCCAGTGAAAAAGGGTCGACGCAACCGACGTGCCTGTTAGGAAGATCGATTTAATAACATACAGTACATTTTCACATTGTATTATTAAAGCTCAGATTGAAATTTTCAGCATTTATTTTATTAATTACACCAATAATATCTTATACAGTAATAATTTTTTGGCAAATCAAAAAATATTATTAGACAGATTTGTTTTTCACTCAAATAGATTTCTTCATCTTTCCTGTTTACAGTTTGACAAAATGTAAACAATATATACAGACGGTTTTAAAGATTTTTAAAAATTATTCATGAATAGAATTTCAATATTTAAATGAATATTCTGTGTGATTAGACGTTTACAATGATATTAATTGTATTGTGGTCTTATTGTGCAACAACTATTTTCTGATATTTTTATATTGAAAAATTAATACTGTTTAGGCATTTTAATTATCTATATTTTATTACTGTAGCCTTTATTAATAATATTACTATTAATAATAATAATAATAATAATAATAATAATAATAATAATAATAATAATAATAATAATAATAATAATAATAATAATCATAATAATAATAATAATAATAGTTCATCCTTATATGGCGCAATTTACCTGTAGGCCTATAGGTTATTACAACTGTACTTTAATTGTTATCGTTGATGCAGCGGGAAAGATTTTTTTTTTTTTAAAAATAATCTTATAAATTATAAGTTTATTTTCTGCGATAATTTTATCCACATATGCATATTCATGTTTTCAATGTTAATATGGTTGATAAATATTATATATATAAAAAAAAATAAATAATAATAATAATAATAATAATAAAGGTACTCGAATAATCCTTTCGTGAACAATTAATAATACTTCAATAATGCTTCAATAGGCCTATTTACGATAGTGTGATCAATGAGATAATTGTTGATTAATTTATAATA